GGGGTGATGTGTGGTGTGTGTGTGGAGTCTGCGTGGTGTGTGGTGTGGGTGTGGTGTGTGTGGGGTGTGTGGTGTGTGTGGTGTGTGTGGTGTGTGTGTGGTGTGTGTTTGGTGTGTGGTGTGTGTGTGTGGTGTGTGGTGCGTATGTGGTATGTGTGTGTGTGTGTGTGAAGGGGGGTCCCGCCTGAGCTGGAGGAACCCAGGACGGCCGTGCAGGGGTCCTCCTCACCGCCCCTCTGGACCCCGAGCTCAGAGTGGCCGATGGGGACCAGGCTGGGAGAGCAGGAGCCCAGTTGTGTTTTGAGCTGCTGCCTGTGCTGGCTGTTGCCGTGGGAACAGGGCAGCTCCCCAGTGTGTGTGTGTGTGTGTGTGTGTGTGTGTGTGTGTGTGTGTGTCTGTGTGTCTGTGTGTGTCCGCATGTGGTGATGAGTCGGTCTGGCATGTCTGAGCCCCAGGGTAGGGTGGAGACAGTTTGGGGTCTGTGCCACACCCAGCTCAGCTACCCCTCAGCTTTGCCCCCAGTGCCCCCGGCTGGACACCTCAAAACAGTGTGAGAGAGAGGCACGGGCCACAGGCCTGACTTCTGGGGCAGGAAAGGAAGACCTGGCTCCCAGTCAGAACTCCTGATCCTCGGTCATTGCCACATGAGCTTGGGCCGTCTCTGCCCTTTCGGGGCACGTGAAGGGGCAGTCAGAACCCCGTTATGCCCTCTCACGGATGCCCCCTGACGTGGTGGGTGTGAGCGTGCTTTGGCGTCGTGGACCAGAAGCTTCTTTCTGGGAGTGACGGAAGCAGTGAGGGGCATATGCCACGAGGGAAAGTTAGTGATACCGCATGACTCGTCCAGCCGATCTTTCCGTGTAAACCTGGAGGGTTTACAAAGCACTACCCTTTATCTTGCGGGACCCTCCCAACCATCCATGGCAGGGATTTCCAGCCCCTTTCTACGGACAAAGAAACCGCGGCCCTCCTCAGCAAGGCTGAGCCACTGCCAGAGGTCACTTAGTTACCCTCACAGAAAGCTTGGCTGTGAGTTTAGATCCTGGGAAGGAAAGAATGAGAGCCTCGGGGGAGGGTTCAAGTTCAAAGCTGTAACCTTTCTGCCCTGACCCAGGCAGCCTGGCTTTGCTCTGTGGCCCCAGGGCTGTCTTGTTCTGGCTCAGCCATCCTCCTCCGACACCCACCCGTGCGGCTTCTGTGCCTCTCCCAGGTCTCCTGGCTCCTTGCGATGCACTGTCCGTGCTGGCAGACGCGAGATTCTTTTCATGAAAGTTTTCTGCGGCCACCTGCCCAGCGTGGGGCCCCTTCTCCGCGCAGTCGGGAAACAGACTGCGGACGACACAGAGGCACGTGCGAGGCCCCTGGGGGTGGAAACTAGTTCACACCTGAGCTCACACAGGGCGTCAGTCCTGGGCGCCTCTCCTGGGCTCTGCTGTCATGTGAGAGGCACCAAGGATCTGAGTCTTCACAGGTGAGAAGGGCTCGCCAGGTGAGGAAACTGGACCGAGCACAAAGGCCGCGCTAGGGCGAGGCCTTTGGGAAAGTTGGGGAGGAGGCAAGGAGTTGGGCGGGGGGACGAGCCCAGGCCACAGAGCTGTCACAAGAGGGCTGTCACCGGATTTGCACACGAGGGGAGACACCCCTGGTTCTAAGCCCACAGGGAGTTGCCGGGTAAAGAAGCATCTAGAAGGGGACAAGAGGTGGGTGACTGAGGTGGCCGTTGCCCTGCTCCAAGCAGAGGAGGTGGTATGGTCCACCCTAGGCTTGGGCAGAGGGCTGGCCTGGAGGGCTGTGGGTGACAGCCGCCAGGCCACAAGGAGCTGGCAGCTCTGTCTTTTGGCACGGCACGAGGAAGGGGCCGAGTGAGTGTGACCTCCTGGGACAACATCAGTCTAAAAGCAGACGCCGTGGGGCTGGGGCTCTGCCTCTCGTCTCTCCGCTGTTCCTCGTAGAGCTGGGCTGAGACAGGCTGGCATTCAGCGACTTCGAATTTTTCCCAATAAAGATGAACCATGCGGAGCCCTGGGGCCCAGGAGCAGCCACCCTCCCCCCCGGTGGTCACTGTCCCTCAGCACAGAGAGGACAGTCCTGAGGGGCACCGCCCCAGCCGTGGGGTGGAGATTCCACCAGTAACAGTGCGTGTGTCCATCTGTAAGGGCTGAGGAGGAGTGGAAGAAGGTTACCCAGAGACCGCGTTGCTTGCATGTCTGGAGCTGAGGCGTCAGCAAGGCCAGTCTCCCTGCGACACCCGCACGATGACCCTTCCTTTTTCCTTCTTAGCTCCGGTGGCTGCTGGCAATGCTGGTGTCCCTGGTCTGCAGGTGCCCACCCCAGTCTTTGCCTTCATCATCATGAGGCTCCTCACCCCGTGTGTCTTTGTCCTTACATGGCCATCTTTTAATAAAGACACCAGTAGGGCCCACCCTACTCCAGTGTGGCCTCGTCTGAACTATTCACATCTGCACCGACACTATTTCTTTACTTAGGTCACATCCTGGGGGACTGGGGGTGAGGATTTCAATGTGCAGGTTTCGGCTGGATGTGATCGAACCCATGACAGATCCTGTGGATTCAGACTTCTTCTGGGACGCCCTGTGGATAAAACTGCCTTGTATCCCGCCCTACTCTGTGTCAGGCATTTATCTACGTTATCTTCAACCTTCACCCCATCTCACTGGGCAAAAGTGTTAGCTCCATCTTATGGATGAGCAAACAAAAGCTTCCGAGGCTGAGTGACTTGCCCAAGCACATGGGCAACGAGTGGAGGGCCCGGCATGGCGTTTACTCAGGCCTCACGGTTGGGGCCGGTGCTTTCTGCCAACTGCAGGCCTGCGACTTGGCTGCCTAACACCCAGCTACTCCCCCATTGTTCCCCAGAGGCCTCCTTGATAATTTCAGCAATTAGACTCCATATTTTCAATACCAATCTAGCCTCTGGGAGGTCATTTAAATCTTCTCTGATAGATGACTACGTTAAAAATAGTCTCACACGTCAGGTTTGAGGTGTACTCACTTGCATTTCTCATTGACATGTGACAGCCTCAGGGTGGGGAGCTGATTGTATCTGGATCTGGGTGCAGAACCCGGGAGCTCAGGGAAACCACGGCTCTTACTGACTGATCACCCGGGCAGGAAATGCCACCTGCTGCCTCCCATTCTCGATTTCTCCTTGAGTTATTCCTTGCAGAGGAAAAGCATCCCACATAAACGGTTTTACTCTGGCTACCCAAAACATACACTCAGTGGATTCCTGGGCATTGGGGCATCATCTGTATCTTTCTTCTGCCGCAGAATGCGTTTTAAGAAAAAGTAGAAGTCTAATCGGGGATGCTTGCAGCACGCGTCTGGGGCAGCAGGGGGCAGCCTGTAGCTTTGCATCCTCCACCCCGGCTGGAATCAGCAGCTCCCTCTCCATCCCAGGGCGCCGGAAGGAGCTAGGCATCTCTGAGATTCGAGGCGTTGTGGTTCACTACGACCATTTCTGGTCTAAGGTAGAAAATGAGCTTAACGGTGACGGAAGCCAGCAGGCCCTGGGAGCAACAGGTGCAGGACAGAGAGCCCTCGGTGACAGGATCTGGACGGGGTGATACTTTAAACGCAGGTAGGGCTGAGCCCCGCCTAGCCGAGCTGGCCTCGCTGGTGGCGGCAGCAGTTGGTCATCTCCCAGGTGGTCAGAGACTCTGTGTTGGCCACAGAGCTCGAGGAGCTGGGGCCATTCAGGGAGAATCAACATCGGACGCCGGGTGGGTGATGGAGCGTGGTGCCCGGGGGTTCAACTCTGCAGAGGAGGCTGGCTTCTGGGACTGCACCTGGCAGGGGGAGGCACAGGTTTTCACATACTTCAAGGTCAAAGGCAGGTGCCACCCCTCTGGTTCAGGAACTCTCCGTCTGAGTGGCTAAGGGGCCCCTGGCCTGCAGTGTGTGACCCAGGCCGTCTGCCTCCTGTCCTCTGTCTCCCTCAGGGAGCCCCATGCTTGGCCCACGGCCTGCCTGCCACAGGGATTCTGGGACCAGGAGAAACAGTAGGAGGCCCCCCAAATCAGAAGACGTCAGTGTGGTGCTGCCCTGTCCCGCTGGGGCAGGAGGTAAGCAGGCACAAAGCAGGTCTGAGCGAAGTGCTCCGCTGTGCAGGGCCCCTGGTGGGTGAGGCAGAGGCAGTGACAGCCGCTCGTAGCTCCGCCCATCTCGAGAGCCTTGGAGGGCCAGGGCTGAGGGCACACCCCTGTCACCGATGTCCACCGCCTAGATCCTCAGCCTCTCCCCGAGCCCGAAGGCGGCCCCGAAGTGGAGCGAGGGCGCGTGTGACGTCCCCAACGCAGAAGACACTGAGCGGGAGCCGGTGCTGCGCTGCGTCTTGTGGGAGAGCGAGCTGAGGCTGGGCCGCGCGACGCCCCCTCAGCTCCGGGGTTCTGCGTTCTGAGTCTCTTCCCTTTTATGGCCTCAGTGTCCTCCTCATGAAACGGTCGGTGGGACAGAACCTGGCACTGGAACTTGCTAAGGCAGAGTTCTGGGCTCGACTCCAGAGTCCTTACCTCCCAGGTGACAGGGCCTTTGGTGGCACATGACCTGAGGACGTACTCACCCCTCCCGCCCCAGCCGCCTGTCCTGGGAAAGCCACCTGCCTCCTTTGTCTACAGGGTCTGTCCCTTCGACTCGCCCTCTATTTCCTGCCCGTTCCTCATTCGAGCATCTTATCCTCTCAGTTCTCCCAAACCTGCTTGCAGGCCCGCCCTCTCTGCCACCCGAGCAGCAGAGGACAGTGTCCCCTCCCTCCAAGAGACTCCTGCTCCAATTCATCGTGATGCACATTAAATGAAACAGCTCAGGTGATGGCAGTGCTCTCCCCAGAGGCTGGCGTCGGAAGGGCCTTTGATCAATGGCTCCTCACCTTTCCGACAGTCGACAAGTCATGGGTGGGTGGCTGGGGAGAGGGGCCGGAGCTTGGTGGCAGCGGGTCATGAACAGACTGAGATGTGGACACGACCCGGGAGCAGTTCGGACAGGACAGGGACATGAGGAAATTTACGCTGTAACTCAGGGGTCCCCCTGCCCAGGCGCGGGGCCGGGGAGGAGAGTGCTTCTGGAAGGGAAAGGGAGGCTGGGGGAGGCAGGGTGAGGAGGGGGAGTGCGGGTACGACTGCGGACCTGTCGCCCCTCACCTCTCGTCCTTCTTACAGCTCATGGGGAGGATGACCATTCGAGGTTCATTCTGATCACCATGTCCTGCCCTTGGCAACACTGGGAGCCAGCGTCCTGCTGTGTGGTGATGGGGGTGGAGCCGGCTACCACACCCTGGGTCCGGCTTATGTTACTTAACCCTAACAACAGCGGAAGGAGGTGGTGAGTTGGTTAATTTTCTGTGTCATCGACTGGGCCATGGGG